CAGTACACACATCCAGTCAGTTCCAGCCGGTGGGTAAACATATTATTGGTGTGGCTTGGAAGCTTCGGGAGGGCGGCGGGGAAGGGTGGGGAGGGGAGGAGAAGGGGCAACGGTGGAAGGAGAGCGAGGGATGAAATGTGCTTGCAGTTTACGATCTTTATAACGAGTCGTGGTAGGTGTTGTTAGGGTTTTTGCCTTTATTAATATTTCACTGGCAGGGCCTGGCCCCGCTGGCCCCGAATGACGACCCCGCCCTGCATCCACGCTTCACCTCCCACCTTGCGAACTGATTTAGGGGAGCGATTCGACCCAATAAAAACAAACGCGATGTTTTTTTGTTTTGTTGTAACGTCTCATTTGTGAAATATCAATAGTCAGCCAGTTGCCATGGTTGGATGAAGGCCTCTGCCATGCTGTGTTGGCAATAGGAATGCTTTGACCATACTTCACCACACTGGCCGGTGCCAGTTGGTGAAATGGGGGGGGGGGGGGGCTCAGGACCGGTTCAGATGTCGCTCGCCACTGATGTTGACCGTGGCCGGGAATCAAACTAGGGTCTCCGAATCTAGAGCACAGTGCATCAAACATCATGCCAAAATTGTTTCTTGCATTGTCCTAAATGTACCCTTAGCAAACTCTTTTTGCTGTATCCTTTGCTATAAATCATTAAAATAAATATTTCTCACAAATGAACCTATTCATGTAGCGTCAATGTGAGAATTGATTTTAATCAATGAAACGTTGCATTGCTATTTGCCTATTAAATAGGCATCGTACATGGATGCATAATTCGCAACTGCTGCCCCCTACAAACATACTGTATTCAACATGCGCAAGGCAATCGTAAATGTACTACAAGATAATTCTCTCTGGAAACAGTGGTCTTTATTGCTGAGTAGCTGCTATATACCAGTACTCATTAACGAATATAGCAGTGACATGCATAACTGCCGGGCCGGCTGGGATTCAACGCTCTACGTTGTAAGCTACATTATCTGAATGTATAAGGACGTTTCAATTTACTGTACCATAGTTCCATTCAGTGATTCACACCTTGTACAAATGTGTAACTGGGTTCTTTGTGCATATGTATCGGTCTGCTGGCGAAATGTTTTACTTGTGTGTCTGCTGGACTTATACACTCATCACACGTCGGTTTTAATCATGTGCGATGCACCGACACATTTTCTCGTGGGTAAACTCATTCAGTCCGATGTTCCTTATTTACTTTGCAATGATATCAAGCCTTATAGAGTCACGAGGAATGCGTCCATATTTGCAACTGTCAATGCATCTCTAGTTTAGTTGGTAACGGCATGAGTTGGGCATTATTGCAGCACGATGCGAGCCACTGTTATTAACGAATATCAGGACGTGAACTGCAGGGCTCTGCTACAACGCAGAATGTAAACATTTTAAAGTGGTCAAGAATGTAGCCCAGCATATGAGGGCTCGAGTTCCACAAGGAAGTTTTAAAAGGGCTAGATACATTTTCGCGAGAAAAAAAAATCCATTTGTGAAATACGAGTAAACACATTTTTTAAATGTTTTGGGAAGTGAAGCACTTCAACACATTAAGCCAAAATAGGGGCCATATTCACGGTCAAATCAACTTTATCCTTTTTCACCTTCTCGTCAAGGACTTGTCATTTCTTTAGAACTGCTTTTTGTGTTTAGGTTGTTGTCCTCCCCCCGCGCCTCCGATTAGCACGGTTGGCTACGTAAGCGTGCGAAAGAAGTTCAACAAATATTCACACTTACGGCTTGGCGACCAGGGCCTGTGATGTACACACGTCTCTCACCCGTGCTTACAGCAAGGGTGAGAAACCTACGGACAACGGCTTCATTTCAAGTTGCCCACGGCCACTTGAGGTCTATTTCCACTTTGAAACGGCCTGCAAATGATGTTGAGCCGTCACTGCAAGCATATTGGCTACACTAATCGGGTCCTAGAGGGTAAACGTTTTCAACCTAGCAACAACGACGACGCTTCGATTCTCATTTGAGCAGGCTCAGTCACTGCCCTCGCCGTAAGGGCCCCTTGCAGTGACATAAGTGACCGAGGTGTGTGCTCATGTGCAACCTGCCAAAGCTATATCTTGAAGTCTTATTGGGCCCTCTGACACCACCCCGGGAGATTGTGTGACTCAGTGCTAACGTAATGCACACCAGTGTTGACACATTGCCACCGCTGTTTGTAAGTTTGATTGTAAACCTGTTTTTGATAACGTAAACTTACTCACAATATTAAAAACATCACACTAATATTTACACAACCACCAGTGGTTCCTTCCATTTTAACTGCAGCAGACTTTGATAGCATCAAGCTAGATAAGTATAGGTATTTGCCCTAATATAATCACTACTAAACAGTACTTTAGGCAAGTACAACAGCAACAATCCTTAAACTAATACCACAGGCATCTTAAAAAAAACCACGACACTTAACACACCATTAACACAGCAATTCATTTAAACAATTTCTCGTGATAACAGAGCATATGTATGCATATTGAAATCAATACGAAGTTTCCAATACCTTGGTGGAATTTGCCATTGAACACAATCATCCTCAGACTAACAGAAATGGAATTTTGCAAAGTACTCAACGCATTCTTTTACTTTAAAGTACTCCTTGGAAGTGTGCAGGACGGTCCATGTATGCACATTGTACTTAATACAAATATTCCACTAACTCGGTGCCCTTTTTGCCATTCAACCCAATGGGCCCTGGCCACCAACTAAGTGGCTTATGGAGCCAGGTGCAAGCTTCCAGCAGCCAGATCGTTATGGCAGCAATGGGAACATTGTCGGGTGGAGATTGCACATCCTCAGAATTCCAAACGGTCCTGGCTTTCAATAACCGGGATTCTCAGGCACACGGGGCACTCGGGAAAAGAATTATTTCTGATAGCACGAGGGTGGCAGATGTCATTGCGTCGTGAACATTCGCCCAGCCCAGAACATTTCCATTGCTGTACAGCCCAGGGCATCCCAGATTCTTACCGCTTGCTCAAGGAATCTCAGCTGGCATAATTCACTGCTCAAACTGCCAGACTTGGTTCATGTCATGGTTAAGCTAGGACCAAGGCTGAATGTTACATTAATTGCTGGATGAGGGCCTCCCAATGGCCCCGAGGGTCAGGGGGGTTGTTTGGTCGTTACTTCACCAGGCTGGTCAGTGCGGGGTGGTGAAGACGACCACTTTCCAGAAGCATAGAAGTACAAAACAACATCCGGTATTTTGCTGCACCGCTCTCTACTGCTCGCTGTGTAGCCCTGCAGCTCCCCGCTGGTGTATCGTGGCCGTCCATCCCAGCACTGCCGAGGCTCAACCCCTGCTTAGCTTGTGCGAGGTATGAATAAAATTGATGGCAGTGATTTTTTCCACAGTTCTCCGCCCCCCCCTCCTCTTGAGTGTCGTATGGAGCTGTACAGTGCTTTTCGGTTGTATAACAGCGGTGGCGAATCCCCCAGGATTCTCACAGAATCGCCCCCCACCCCCCTGCCTTTTGCCGGGCCCATGCACGTTGAATTCGCACGCACGCCCCCACTCGTGTCAACGCACATAAATGGAACAAACATGGGGCACATTAAGCTTGGGCACGTGGGCAGGAATGACGATGGACGATGATGAACGATGGTCATATGTGCGAGGTCACAGTCACCCGCTAATACCCCCGTACATTGTTTTTGTTTTACCAAATAAAAACGCCGTCAACATCTCTCAGGGTAGATGGACAGTTCATCACATCCTTTGCACGCGTCCATCCGACGACGACTGCATTGCACACGCAAGCAAGCATCGTCTTTCTGTGCGGCTGCCTATGACTTTTAGCCTACACTCTTGCGCACAATTTGCAACGCGTGCCACATGTTATTCATTACAGCACGAGAACAACTGCTAGCTTCGCAGGCAATAATACGTCGATCAATCAATTGGCTTCCCTACTTGAACATCCGCCAAAATGTGTCATTTTATTCAGCAGCCTCGCCGTTTCTGGAGTAAACACGCCCATGTGCACCATCTAATGTCTCAACCGATGTGTTGGAAGTGAGAAAAAGCGGTGCATTCTATCCAATAAAATACATCTGCTTGAATTCTCCACCTAGATAAAACATTACTAAAATCACGTGTATTTAGAGGCCCCAGAAACGTCAGTTAACCAACCGCATTTGTTTAAGCGCGCCTAAACCTTGGTTCGCTTGAAACCTTTATGACCTTCTGGGTCCCATCAGCGGTCCTGCTAAACAAATGTCAAAAGGTTATGATTATTGGTAACAGCATTCTCTCCATTGTATTGGGTAGGTCGATGGTTATAAAGGACACATTGTATATGCTTTGGCGCCAGTGTCGTTCTGGCAAGAAAGTGATGGTCAGGGGCTATGATAACCACACACGCTTTTGTTGATAAAGTAGTTGCAAGCTCATAGAATGGTCTTGTGTAAAAACGGCTATTCCCTTTGGCAAATGCGTTCAGTGTCCCAAAGGCAACTTGCAAAGCGAAACAGTTAATACCTTAACAATCATAACGGGAACAAAAGTTACCATTGTTTCGTTTTTAAACTTAGTAGCTAGCGTACATGTTAAAAAACTAAATCAGTAAACCCTGAATTTGACCCGCCGGCTGAATCGTCGACGACGTAGCTTGTAAAGTCGGCGACCTCGGTAAATCATTAACTTCGTGTCATATTGACGGACGGTAGAACAGAACTATCTTGCGTACGCCACTTTACGTTATACATAACCCACCACATTTATGTAAACCTGCAAACACACGTGACAAAAACACACACACGCGCGCGCCTTATTTGCGCTCACAGTTCACAAACGACTTGTCAGTCGGCAAGTGGCTCAATCTCCATGCTGATAATTCATCATCACCATCCTCCTCCTCCTACTCATCATCATCATCTTCCTTACACCGCCGTCGTCGTCCTATCGAGCCTGTACCCCGCGCGTTGGCTCAGAAAACCGTCGCAAAATCACGGATCCTCACCGAGCAGGAGTAGTTTGACCTCCTTCGCCGCCTTCTCCCCGTCCTCCCGAAGATTACGGTCGATTATCTTCGACCTCTCCACCGCAGCCTTATCCTCGCTGCTCATTGTACAGCCCATGGCTGCGAGGGTGTGCCGGGACGACTGGCTGCCTCCCTTGCTCGTCCACACGGAGCGCACAGACTCCAGGCTCGCTTTGATCTCCTCGGCAAGCGTCCGCTGGACTCGTCTCCTTCTTCAATCGCTCCGTGTGGAACTCTTTAATTGCTGTTGCTGCTGTTGCTGCTGCTCGCAGGCAAGTGGAGAGAGACGGAGGGGGAAGGAGGAAGAGAGTCGTAAGGCTTTTGGGGAACAAGGTTGTTCACCGTAAAGGGGTTTGGGATAGTGCGCACAAAGAGGGTTGTGACGCGCACATCTGTAAAGAATAAGAAAATTGCTTCATAGCTCATCGGATTCCTCCAGTTCAGAATTAAAAATACTGATGATTCCGAAGAGATGACGACCACTTGAGCGTGCACTAGCTCAGCATAGTACTCACACAGAGAGTACACACACAGAGAGAGAGTACTCACACAGAGAGAGACTCACACACAGAGAGAGACTCATACAGAGAGCGAGAGTACTCACACACAGAGAGTACTCACACAGAGAGAGTACTCACAGAGAGAGAGAGAGAGTACTCACACACAGAGAGAGGTTCACACACACAGAGAGACTCACACAGAGAGAGAGACTCACACACACAGAGAGACTCACACAGAGAGAGACTCACACAGAGAGGGACCTACACAGAGAGACTCACTCACAGAGAGGTTCACACACAGAGAGACCCACACACAGAGAGAGACTCTCACACACACAGAGAGAGACTCTCACACACACAGAGAGAGACTCACACAGAGAGAGAGACCCACACAGAGAGACTCACACACAGAGAGACTCACACACAGAGAGTACTCACACAGAGAGAGACTCACACACAGAGAGACTCACACAGAGAGAGACCCACACAGAGAGACTCACTCACAGAGAGACTCACAGACAGAGAGACTCACACACACAGAGAAAGTACTCACACACAGAGAGAAAGAGACTCACACAGAGAGACTCACACAGAGAGCCTCACACAGAGAGAGAACTCACACACAGAGAGACTCACACAGATAGACTCACACGCAGAGAGACTCACACAGAGAGAGACTCACACACACAGAGAGAGAGACTCACACAGAGAGTACTCACACAGAGAGAGACTCACACAGAGAGACTCACACGCAGAGAGACTCACACAGAGAGAGACTCACACACAGAGAGCGAGAGACTCACACAGAGAGTACTCACACAGAGAGAGACTCACGCAGAGAGAGAGAGAGACTCACACACACAGAGAGACTCACACACAGAGAGTACTCACACACAGAGAGAGTACTCACACAGAGAGAGACTCACACACAGAGAGCGAGAGACTCACACAGAGAGTACTCACACAGAGAGAGACTCACACAGAGAGACTCACACGCAGAGAGACTCACACGCAGAGAGGCTCACACACAGAGAGCGAGAGACTCACACAGAGAGTACTCACACGGAGAGAGAGAGAGACTCACACAGAGAGAGACTCACGCAGAGAGAGAGAGAGACTCACACACACAGAGAGACTCACACACAGAGAGTACTCACACACAGAGAGAGTACTCACACAGAGAGAGACTCACACAGAGAGAGTACTCACACAGAGTACATACACAGAGAGAGTGTGGTGGTAACGCAAGGGGGAGACTCACTCCACGTACTCACACACAGAGAGAGTACTCACACAGAGTACACACACAGAGAGAGACTCACACAGAGACACACACACACAGACTCACACAGAGAGACTCACACTCACACAGAGAGACTCACACAGAGAGAGACTCACACACAGAGAGAGAGAGACTCACACAGAGAGAGACTCACACAGTGTACACACACAGAGAGAGTGTGGTGCTAACGCAAGGGGGAGACTCACTCCACGTACTCACACAGAGCGTGTGTGATGGACTAACTTTAGAGCGGCTACTCACGCGAAGAGGAGAGAGAGGCACGGGTCACTCGAGTGTGGGTGGACTCACTCAGAAGCGACGGATACTTTTCCCCCCACCCCACACAAGGAGCCAGATGTACGGTCACACGCACTAAATAATTAAACTCCAAAACCTAACGGAAATTGCACTGTGGTGCTTATGTAATGAATGTACAAACTATGTAGTAGACGCGTTTCGGAATTTAACATCGTGTGATTATTGCCCATCAATCACCCAGCTAGTTGTGCCGCTACTATTAATGTGTAGTGTGCGCAGCTTCTTACCTTTGCGTATTCGCTTTCTCCGCAAAAAAACAATCCCCCCCCCACCACCCCAAAAATAATGAGAACAAACAACGCGGACACGCGCAGAGTCACCGGGAGTGCAGCCCTGAACGCAGCCCTCTCTCACCGCACAAGAGGCCCCCTCTCTCTCACTGGCACACACAGCACACACACACTGAATATCCCTTCTCTCTCTCACTCACACAGCGCACACACTGAAGACCCCTTCTCTCTCTCACTGGCACACACACGCGCGTACAGCCCGCCCCAAGTCCTTCCCACCCCACTCCTCCACCAGCCAAGCGAAGCTCACCACGATGATGTTGGCCGGGAACGGCTCCCCCCCCACCACCACCACCACACTCTCTCGCTCTCCTCTCTTTTCCTCCACCCCACCGCTCTCTTCTCCCACCACGAGTCCGTTTGCAGCACCCCACAAAGGCCGGATGCGCGGTTGCATCTAGGAGCGCAGTCGGGGACGCTGGAACCAAACGGCAGGCTCGCGAACAATTGCAACTATTAAACTGAAGTCGATTATCGATAGTATCATAATTAAGTGGTGGTGGGTGGGTGGGTGGGGGAAGCGGCCGCCGGAATTTTCAAAAACGCCGGATAATCACATCATTATTTAAAATAGCTTCTTATTTTTTTCACGTTCTTGATTGACGTGTTTTTAGGCGTTGTGTTAATGTGTGTTTTTCGTCTATTGAATTTGTTGACTGTAAGAAATAGGTTTAAATAAGCATACAAATGGACGAAAATAATATCCTCCTTTTAAAAAGTTAGCAGTATTACTGTAGCGTACATATCACTTCAATCTCGAAGACTCTGCATGGCGTGATGACAGCGAGGTGTAGAATTGGAGGTGGTTATTCAGTCTGAATCCAACTCCCATCGATTTTGTGGATTTGCTCTCCAACACACCGGTGTGCTGTACTAGTAACGAATTGTTTACGTGACAAACCTTACTAATTGGCTGTGTCGGGTGGTGGCGGGTTCAACGACACATTTATATTTACGCGATCTAACAAAAAAAAACTATATTATGGGCAACTCCCATCAGTTGTGATGGAGGTTCGCCAGATCGGCTCGGGACCGCTAGATAATGTTGGAAGCCGAATAATCGCATGCCGGATAATACGTAATCGACCAGGCAATGCGTTAATTGTGTGTTGACCGACTCTCTGTGTCGTTTTACATAACATTTCGATACTTTGCTAGGTTATTTAATTTAGTGTGTTCCGTCTCCCTCTAAGCCTGCTTACCTTACTCCCCTCCCTTCGTACTCATTGACATGTAAATGTTTTCCCTACCCCCTCCCTCTCTCTGCCTCCGCCCCCTCTCTGTCTATTTAAGGCCACCCCACAGAGACGATCACCTCTCTCTGTACCTGGGTTGCTCTCTCTATGTATCTTGGTGATATCTGTCTGCTTTTATGTCTGTCTATAGTTTTCTGGTTATATTCTATGTCGCTATTTCATTATACCTGATGATGATTGCTTGTGTTGCAATCGAAACGTCGTATGCTATTATTTAATTTATTATTTTATTTTTATACGTGACTTTACCGAAAAAACCAAAGAATAATTCCTGCAGTCACGAAAGCTCCAAAATTAATATATGATCTACTGTGTTTTTTTTTACTAGGGTAACACCCACTGGGCTATATAGCTCAACGTAAGTGTCGTATCATCATGTGGGGACGTATAGCAGCTAAATACGCTGAACGCATGTTGTTGATTCTAAATGTGGAGAAAAAGCCCGGAGGATCCGGAGAAGAATCCACACAAACACGGGGAGAGAGAGGACATGCAAATTCCAAATACACAAGCGTTCGTGTCAGGATTGAACGCACGACCTCCTGCATACCAGGCGAGGTAGTTAATATCTCGCCACCGTGGCGCCGCTATGTATCCGCCCCCCCCCCCAAATAAAATAAATAACCTGGCTGGCATTGACACCAGGGATGTAGAGTTAATTGAAACACATAGCATAGACACGTTCAAAATATTAAACGTTGGTGATAATTATTGCACTTCGCTGTGTGTCTACACTGGTGTCAATCCCCATACAATGCTCTACTTGTGTAACTGAATGCATATTCTTAGTTTTTTCGGTAAAGTCACGTAAGTAAAAAATGAAATTAAAATTAATAAAAAAATTTCATTTCATTTTTTACCTACGTGACTTTACCGAAACAACTAAGAGTATGGATCCTTGCAGTCACGAAAGCTTCAAATCTAGAATGTAACTGAATGGTTTGTTCAATTAAATACTTTTGGGACCCCCCCCCCCCCTCGGCTAAATTATTGTTTGGCTGTAAGACATCTGAGTAGAAAGAATCGCAAACTGCTGTGATGAAATTACCCACCTACCCACCTAAATGAGGATACCAAAAATGTAATGAGATTTCTGAAATACAACACTACTGCAAACATGCTCACTCACACGTTAGCGTGGTAGGGATCGTATGATAATCCTAGTAACAGTAGTACAGAACTGGATACGGCGTGCACGTGTTGATACACGTACGGAAATGCACACAATGCGCAGGTGTTCATATCTGGAGGATGCTCATTCATTCAAACATATGAGTTGGTGGAGCGGTGGCGCAGTGGTTAGCGCACTACACTACAAACTCGTCAACCTGTGTTCCAACTGTCGGCCACGGTTAACATTATTGGTAGTGATACTGCATCTGAACCCCCAACGCACATGGACCAGAGTGGTTGAAGTATTGCAAAACAAACCTCTCAGACCGACGAGGCGTGGCAAGTCCTTCATCCTGCCAGGGATGGTGTGAGAGAACATCTGCAAATTGTTATGAATACTGTAACACAATCGAGAATAATTTTCAAGTCGATGATTTCATGCTGAAGTTTAACGACTAATAACACATTTCGATTTAAAGCTTTCGTGACTGCAGGGATTCATCTTCTTGGTTCTTTCGGTAAAGTTACGTAGAAGGGAAATAATAAAATAAAATAATTATGTTTAATTTTTATTATTTTATTATTTCTCTTCTACGTGACTTTACCGAAAGAACCAAGAAGATGACTAATAACAGAATCATTGGCAGCAAAGGCACTGAGCCCCAAAGCAACGACGACAATATAAAACTGAAATAATTGCAGCTTTATTATTGTAGGCCTTCGTCCAGTAGTGGATTGACCCTGGCTGATGATGCTGATGAATAACCATAAACGTGACGCGTGCGTTGAAATAGTCCTGCGAAGACAATCGTGTTGCCGTCTGAAAGATGCAAGTTCGCCGTGAAATACTGAACGTGTAATTGAACTAGCCTTCTGCATGTCACATACATAGATAGGAAAAAACGTTGGAAAAATATATTGGTGTTTTGTGTACGACTAGTGTTGGATTTTTGGTTAAGTGATTTATGTTCGTGAATGAAGAGTAGGCCAAATACGCCTGTATTTTTGTGTGCTGTCGAGCTCCCTCTAGTGTAGGCCATTATCCAGCAATGTCGCGGGCAAACCATTGCAGGGCTGCACATTTAGGTTCTCATAAATTCAACACAGGTTGTGCGCCTAAGGGAAAACAATTATGCTCACTATCAATGCCATCTAGGTGGAGCAACTGGGATACGTGACCCTACCGCGCCCACGGAAAGCATGTGGTGTCCTTGGCTGTACCTATCATAACCGGATCCCACTCGTCATTAAACTGACATTAAATTAAATTATTGAAATAGAGGTCACGAAGTCAAAGCGCTTGTGTTCATTCAAAACCGTTCAGTTGTAAAGTGTCACAGGGAACCAAGGGTGTAAAGGGCAATCCATAACTACACTGGTGTATATCAATAAAGGTATCATCCGTCATTAGATAATTAAAATTACACGGCAGTTTCAGCGAGGTCAAATGTCAAGTTTCAAGTTCATGTTGTTTAACCAGGAGAGTTTCATTTGCAAAAGTGACCTGGAGCATTGGTCTGCCAGTACAGGGCTGTGATTGCAAAGTATAGTTCCAAATTGAGTAATTTATTTTCGTTCCTTGTTCATGTTTGCCAATAAGTTGCCTTGTGTTTCACGTAATAATTGCTCATTCTGCTTGTTTATCCAAAAAAACCTCACTGAGTCTCATGACTCTCTCCTTCAGAAGGAAACTGCCAAGGGGCCGTCCATAAATGACGTCACGCGATTTTGGACGATTTTTGACCCCCCCCCCACCCTCGTCACGCGGCGTCACAAAAAGTCAGACCCACCCCTCAAATATGACGTCACAAAGCACTGCCCCCTCCCCCCCAAAACCATATTTCCATTTTGAAAATAAAACATGCTTCAAATCGCTTTAAACTATTGTCATTGTAGTGCATATTTAATGTGGCGCTGCACTCTGATGTTGTATATTTATTTAAAGTTGCGCATTTTGATGTGACGTCACATTTCTCAACCCTCCCCCCTCGTCACACATCGTCACAAATGTCTGACCCCCCCCCCTCCCCTAGGTGCGTGACGTCATTTATGGACAGCCCCCAAGCTATCAGAGTAAGGGGACGATTCCAATTGAGCAACTTGTCGAATTTTCTCAAATTTGGACCCTGACTCCGGCCGGCACACAATGGCCTGCATTGCGAATTACGTCAGGGGGTATTTAACGTCCACTGCGAAGCAAAGTTATTACACCCGCAATAATAATCAGGGCGGCCGCAGGATTTCATTTGGGACGTTTCGCAACAAGCGGCAGACACGCTAACCTGCTCCAAACGTCGGTACACACACACATTCTTGGGGTTGAATTAATATTTTTTTACCAGTTTCATTTTTCTACGTATTGGCCCCGGCTTGTCAACACATATTATATCAGTGATTTTTCAATAGTTCTGCTAAGTGCTGTTGAAGATTACTCAAACTTTTCGTTATAAAAAATGTAATATCAAACGTACACATTGCCAACATTTCAACCACGCGAATTCTAATTCTGTAATACTGGACGATGCGTTCATGAACACCCTGTCTACGCCAGTTAATATCTCTGCTCACCCTTTGCTCTGAAGAAGCGCCGTTTCCCGAAGCGTCAGCCTCTCGTATATTTGTGCTGTGATAATACAGTGCCCCATTTTGTGCCGACTCAGCATATCCGCTGACTTCGACGGCTGATTGACTGATTACAATGAGTGTGGAACAAAAGTTAACACATTGGCATAAGCCAAAAGCGGAACCTGACATACGTCTCGCGATAAGCTGTTCCGTTTTT